CTCTCATACACTCACTCTCTCATACACACACTCTCTCATACACACACGCTCTCATACACTCACTCTCTCATACACACACTCTCTCATACACACACACTCTCATACACACACTCTCATACACACACTCTCTCATACACACACTCTCTCATACACACACTCTCTCATACACACACTCTCTCATCACACACACTCTCTCTCATACATACACACACTCTCTCATACACACACTCTCTCATACACACACTCTCTCATACACACACTCTCTCATACACACACTCTCTCATACACACACTCTCTCATACACACACTCTCTCATACACACACTCTCTCATACACACACTCTCTCATACACACACTCTCTCATACACACACACTCTCTCATACACACACTCTCTCATACACACACTCTCTCATACACACACTCTCTCATACACACACTCTCTCATACACACACTCTCTCATACACACACTCTCTCATACACACACTCTCTCATACACACACACTCTCTCATACACACACACTCTCTCATACACACACACTCTCTCATACACACACTCTCTCATACACACACTCTCTCATACACACACTCTCTCATACACACACTCTCTCATACACACACTCTCTCATACACACACTCTCTCATACACACACTCTCTCATACACACACTCTCTCATACACACACACTCTCTCATACACACACTCTCTCATACACCACCTCTCACTACACACACACTCTCTCATACACCACTCTCTCATACACACACTCTCTCATACACACTCTCTCATACACACACTCTCTCATACACACACTCTCTCATACACACACTCTCTCATACACACACTCTCTCATACACACACTCTCTCATACACACACTCTCTCATACACACACTCTCTCATACACACACTCTCTCATACACACACTCTCTCATACACACACACTCTCTCATACACACACTCTCTCATCACACACTCTCTCATACACACACTCTCTCATACACACACTCTCTCATACACACACTCTCTCATACACACACTCTCTCATACACACACTCTCTCATACACACACTCTCTCATACACACACTCTCTCATACACACACTCTCTCATACACACACTCTCTCATACACACACTCTCTCATACACACACTCTCTCAACACACACTCTCTCATACACACACTCTCTCATACACACACTCTCTCATACACACACACTCTCTCATACACACACTCTCTCATACACACACTCTCTCATACACACACTCTCTCATACACACACTCTCTCATACACACACTCTCTCATACACACACTCTCTCATACACACACTCTCTCATACACACACTCTCTCATACACACACTCTCTCATACACACACTCTCATACACACACTCTCTCATACACACACTCTCTCATACACACACACTCTCTCATACACACACTCTCTCATACACCACACTCTCTCATACACACACACTCTCTCATACACACACTCTCTCATACACACACACTCTCTCATACACACACTCTCTCATACACACACTCTCTCATACACACACTCTCTCATACACACACTCTCTCATACACACACACTCTCTCATACACACACTCTCTCATACACACACTCTCTCATACACACACTCTCTCATCACACACACTCTCTCATACACACACACTCTCTCATACACACACTCTCTCATACACACACTCTCTCATACACACACTCTCTCATACACACACTCTCTCATACACACACTCTCTCATACACACACTCTCTCATACACACACTCTCTCATACACACACTCTCTCATACACACACTCTCTCATACACACACTCTCTCATACACACACTCTCTCATACACACACTCTCTCATACACACACTCTCTCATACACACACTCTCTCATACACACACTCTCTCATACACACACTCTCTCATACACACACTCTCTCATACACACACTCTCTCATACACACACTCTCTCATACACACACTCTCTCATACACACACTCTCTCATACACACACTCTCTCATACACACACTCTCTCATACACACACTCTCTCATACACACACTCTCTCATACACACACTCTCTCATACACACACTCTCTCATACACACACACTCTCTCATACACACACTCTCTCATACACACACTCTCTCATACACACACTCTCTCATACACACACTCTCTCATACACTCACACTCTCATACACACACTCTCTCATACACTCACTCTCTCATACACACACTCTCTCATACACACACTCTCTCATACACTCACTCTCTCATACACACACTCTCTCATACACTCACTCTCTCATACACACACTCTCTCATACACTCATAGCCAAGAAGAACGGCAATGTCAGATTCAGTTACTGTTAAGACATGTTTATTCTAATCTCTGCCAACATCTTCACATACGGGTTATAATAAGGAGCCCAAATTACATGATAAATACTTGCCAAGTTAATGAAAATATAATATCTATGTGTACAAAAATGAAAATAAATCGGTTCAAAGAATAAGGCCAGTTGGTGTACCATATATATATACATAAATAAAGCATTGGTCATTGGTCAACATTCATTTAGAAAACAATCCTAATCCCTCACTGACAAAGAGTTTGTGATTTTTTCTAATCCCTAATATTCACACGCCATCAATGTTCCATTTCATTTGTCATGGGTCTGAGCAGAAACACAACCTTCCTGAGCAACCGTTAGCGGTACTCTGAGCCAGTGGAGGGTACCTTGGTCCTCTGTACAGACCTGTCACTCACTTCATGTCCATACACAACAATCCCATTGATTTAACATCAGCTGTAACAAATGATACGATTTGGTTCAATATCCACCCTGATCATGATGCATCTGGATCAACATTTTTGGTCTTCTCCTGATGATGGATTTGAATTTATTTAAATTTTCAGAATTTAATTGAAAATATATAATAGATTTAAATGAATATGATCTCTGACACAGACCTTGTTTGGCGACGTCTGAGCCGGCATCCTGTTAGGCAGTACCTTTAAAGACCTTATGACGGGTTTTTAAAAAAAAAATAGTGGATATCAAAATTGCATGACAATGTCAATTTGAAAGAGATTCCGGCAAAAAAAATCCTATATTTTATAAAAAGAACGTGTTTTTCATGAATTTAAGCTGTCTATGCTCTAACCTGTGTGTGACATCACAGCGGGTTACGCCCATGCATTGAAAACCATGGATCTATGCCACAGGACTGCCTTTTCTCTCTTCTCTCCACTGATGCCCAACACAATACTGCCCTCTACAGGTGACAATTGCTCACTACACATAAATTGCCGTTTTGAGTGTGAAAAAGAGTCCGAGGTGGGATTTGAGGTATCTGGATTGACAGTCCATCGACACAACCACTGGACTATCTCAGTTACAATGAAATGATACATTCTAGTAGTTATTTCTCACTCGCTGTACACGGCCTTGTCATCTTGAATATCCGCGAAAAAAGAACAAATACCAAATTGTAAACAACTTACAGCGTTGAAACGTACCCACTCTGACGTCACCAAGGGCTGTGAAGTTTTTTCGTCTCTAAAGGCGCGTTCAGACCAAAAGCTTCAAAAAGCTTTTGACGCGCTTCAACTGACGCTGGGATAGTTTTGTCATTTTGGTGCTTGAAGCTTTTGACGCGAGTGACGCGAGTGACGCGCCTGACGCCGGTGGGAGGAGCTTCACTGTAGTCAGGACAGCGGTGGATTTTTCAATGAGCAGCGAGCCTTTATTTGTTATATAAAGCAAAATAACGTTGTTGTAGGGCTTCAACAAAACATGTTCTGTTTCATGTTCACCACAGACTTGAGAGGCTGCAGTGTTTGCAGAGTTCCGTCATTTACTCCAGGAGCTGCGTACGGAGGAGTCTCGCTTTCAGCGGTACTTCCGCATGTCACTCGCCCAGTCTGAGTTCTCAAACCCCGGAGCTCGCCTCTCCCTGCCTCGCTCTCGCCTCTCCCTGCCTCTCCCCGGCTCTCGCCTCTCCCTGCCTCTCCCCGGCTCTCGCTCGCCTCTCCCCGGCTCTCGCTCGCCTCTCCCTGCCTCTCCCCGGCTCTCGCCCGCCCGGAGCTGTCTTGCTCTGAGCCAGACTCATCGTCAGCCTGTTCTTATTTTAAATAAACTACGTTTACTACACAGCATGTGTACAATGATTTTTGTTACTCAGAACGTTACTACTCATACAAATAATATTACTAATAACAATAATGACAATAAAACAACAGCAGCAGATACATGACTTCTCTTCATGACAGAGACAGACCCTCTGCTGCTGCTGCTCCTCGTCTCCTGATTGGTTGAAGCCCGCGTCAAAGCTGCAAAAGCTCAGCTTTGCTCAGCTTCGGCGTCAGAGGGATTGTTGTGATACGCGAGCGTTTCGCGCGTCAAAAGCTTCAAGTGAGCGCGTATTACGCGCGACCTTTGAAGCTTTTGACGCGCGCCAAGTGACGCCGGGGCCCTCGGCTTCACCTGACGCGCTTCACCATTCACTTTCAATGGAAACCTGACGCTTTTGACGCCGAAGTTAAGTCCGGTGTGAACGCCCCTTAAGGGCGTTGCTATGGGGTTATTTTGATTTGGGGGGGATCAGACAAAAAAAACAACAACTGATTTTGAAACCTTTAGTAGTTCTCTTCTAATATAAAATGGTATTAAAACTGTATTTCTAAATAAATCAAACCCGTCATAAGGTCTTTAAGGGACCCACTGAGCCAGCCAGGACAAGGCCCTGAACACGGCATGTACCACCTGAACATAGAAGACCCAAGGTGTCGGTTGTGGAAAGAAGGACCTGAAACAATACAACTCAACTGCAGGGTGTAAGATGCTGGCAGAGCCGTAACCAAGTGGCTGGTATAGTGTACAGAAACATTGTTGCAGAATAAGGGCTGGAAACTCCAAAGGTGGTGGAGAATGAGTGTGCAAAGATCCTGTGGGACTTCCAGATACAGACCGACCGAACGGTAATGAACCAACCTGACATCGTGGTGGTGGACAAAGGGCAGAGGACAGCCGTGGTGGTGGACAAAGGGCAGAGGACAGCCGTGGTGGTGGACAAAGGGCAGAGGACAGCCGTGGTGGTGGACAAAGGGCAGAGGACAGCCGTGGTGGTGGACAAAGGGCAGAGGACAGCCGTGGTGGTGGACAAAGGGCAGAGGACAGCCGTGGTGGTGGACAAAGGGCAGAGGACAGCCGTGGTGGTGGACAAAGGGCAGAGGACAGCCGTGGTGGTGGACAAAGGGCAGAGGACAGCCGTGGTGGTGGACAAAGGGCAGAGGACAGCCGTGGTGGTGGACAAAGGGCAGAGGACAGCCGTGGTGGTGGACAAAGGGCAGAGGACAGCCGTGGTGGTGGACAAAGGGCAGAGGACAGCCGTGGTGGTGGACAAAGGGCAGAGGACAGCCGTGGTGGTGGACAAAGGGCAGAGGACAGTCGTGGTGGTGGACAAAGGGCAGAGGACAGTCGTCGTGGTGGACAAAGGGCAGAGGACAGCCGTGGTGGTGGACAAAGGGCAGAGGACAGCCGTGGTGGTGGACAAAGGGCAGAGGACAGCCGTGGTGGTGGACAAAGGGCAGAGGACAGCCGTGGTGGTGGACAAAGGGCAGAGGACAGCCGTGGTGGTGGACAAAGGGCAGAGGACAGCCGTGGTGGTGGACAAAGGGCAGAGGACAGCCGTGGTGGTGGACAAAGGGCAGAGGACAGCCGTGGTGGTGGACAAAGGGCAGAGGACAGCCGTGGTGGTGGACAAAGGGCAGAGGACAGTCGTGGTGGTGGACAAAGGGCAGAGGACAGTCGTCGTGGTGGACAAAGGGCAGAGGACAGCCGTGGTGGTGGACAAAGGGCAGAGGACAGTCGTGGTGGTGGACAAAGGGCAGAGGACAGTCGTCGTGGTGGACAAAGGGCAGAGGACAGCCGTGGTGGTGGACAAAGGGCAGAGGACAGCCGTGGTGGTGGACAAAGGGCAGAGGACAGCCGTGGTGGTGGACAAAGGGCAGAGGACAGCCGTGGTGGTGGACAAAGGGCAGAGGACAGCCGTGGTGGTGGACAAAGGGCAGAGGACAGCCGTGGTGGTGGACAAAGGGCAGAGGACAGCCGTGGTGGTGGACAAAGGGCAGAGGACAGCCGTGGTGGTGGACGTGGCAATTCCAAGCGATGGTAACATCAGGAATAGCCTGGTCTTATCCATCCGTAAACTCTGCTCATTCCTCATTTCACTGCATGTAGCGTCTGGGTCTGGTCCCTGTGTTAGAGATTACAATCGGTTGAATTGCAACCGGCTACTCAGAGAGCGCGAAGGCGGGTGTTGTAGGTCGGTGCCAGTGACGTCAAGAGTTTGCGTCGAACGGGAAGGTTGTAGTTTGTTGTTTGGTTGTAGTTTGGCGAAGAATGCGATAGTAAAGTAATCCAGTCTGGTTCTATCAAGAAACTGAAGCTGGAGCAAGAGGAATGTTTAGCAAATGTAATCGCTGGTCAAGATTCTGGCGCTACCCCCCCCCCCCCCCCCGGGCTCTGTTAGCGGCAAAGGAGATGGCTAAAGCTAGGCTAAATGCTATCAACAGACTCGGGCTCATTACAAACGTCACGGTAAACTCAGATCCAATCGTTTCAATCTGCAAAAGGAGTTAGCCCCTCCCACCTGTTCACGGAGTCAATGCAACACCTCCAGACCTTAGTACGACATGTAATTTGTACTATGGTGTGGTGCGGACAGGCTAGATCAGGAAAAAAGAACACAAAAAGCTTGAGAAATACCAAGGTCTCAGAGAGGAGCTGGAGAGGGCCTGGAGGGTAAAGGTCACAGTAGTGAGAGAGCCTGGAGGGTACAGGTCACAGTAGTGAGAGGGCCTGGAGGGTAAAGGTCACAGTAGTGAGAGAGCCTGGAGGGTAAAGGTCACAGTAGTGAGAGGGCCTGGAGGGTAAAGGTCACAGTAGTGAGAGGGCCTGGAGGGTAAAGGTCACAGTAGTGAGAGGGCCTGGAGGGTAAAGGTCACAGTAGTGAGAGAGCCTGGAGGGTAAAGGTCACAGTAGTGAGAGGGCCTGGAGGGTAAAGGTCACAGTAGTGAGAGGGCCTGGAGGGTAAAGGTCACAGTAGTGAGAGGGCCTGGAGGGTAAAGGTCACAGTAGTGAGAGAGCCTGGAGGGTAAAGGTCACAGTAGTGAGAGGGCCTGGAGGGTAAAGGTCACAGTAGTGAGAGAGCCTGGAGGGTAAAGGTCACAGTAGTGAGAGGGCCTGGAGGGTAAAGGTCACAGTAGTGAGAGAGCCTGGAGGGTAAAGGTCACAGTAGTGAGAGAGCCTGGAGGGTAAAGGTCACAGTAGTGAGAGGGCCTGGAGGGTAAAGGTCACAGTAGTGAGAGGGCCTGGAGGGTAAAGGTCACAGTAGTGAGAGGGCCTGGAGGGTAAAGGTCACAGTAGTGAGAGGGCTGGAGGTAAGACAGTGGGGCCTAAGGTAGTGAGAGGGCCTGGAGGGTAAAGGTCACAGTAGTGAGAGGGCCTGGAGGGTAAAGGTCACAGGGTAAGGTGATGAGAGCCTGGAGGGGTAAAGGTCACAGGTAGTGAGAGGGCCTGGAGGGTAAAGGTCACAGTAGTGAGAGAGCCTGGAGGGTAAAGGTCACAGTAGAGGGCCTGGAGGGTAAAGGTCACAGTAGTGAGAGGGCCTGGAGGGTAAAGGTCACAGTAGTGAGAGAGCCTGGAGGGTAAAGGTCACAGTAGTGGAGGGCCTGGAGGTAAAGGTCACAGTAGTGAGAGGCCTGGAGGGTAAAGGTCACAGTAGTGAGAGGGCCTGGAGGGTAAAGGTCACAGTAGTGAGAGGGCCTGGAGGGTAAAGGTCACAGTAGTGAGAGGGCCTGGAGGGTAAAGGTCACAGTAGTGAGAGAGCCTGGAGGGTAAAGGTCACAGTAGTGAGAGGGCCTGGAGGGTAAAGGTCACAGTAGTGAGAGAGCCTGGAGGGTAAAGGTCACAGTAGTGAGAGGGCCTGGAGGGTAAAGGTCACACTGGAGTAGTGAGAGAGCCTGGAGGGTAAAGGTCACAGTAGTGAGAGGGCCTGGAGGGTAAAGGTCACAGTAGTGAGAGGGCCTGGTGGGTAAAGGTCACAGTAGTGAGAGAGCCTGGAGGGTAAAGGTCACAGTAGTGAGAGGGCCTGGAGGGTAAAGGTCACAGTAGTGAGAGGGCCTGGAGGGTAAAGGTCACAGTAGTGAGAGGGCCTGGAGGGTAAAGGTCACAGTAGTGAGAGGGCCTGGAGGGTAAAGGTCACAGTAGTGAGAGAGCCTGGAGGGTAAAGGTCACAGTAGTGAGAGGGCCTGGAGGGTAAAGGTCACAGTAGTGAGAGAGCCTGGAGGGTAAAGGTCACAGTAGTGAGAGGGCCTGGAGGGTAAAGGTCACAGTAGTGAGAGGGCCTGGAGGGTAAAGGTCACAGTAGTGAGAGGGCCTGGAGGGTAAAGGTCACAGTAGTGAGAGAGCCTGGAGGGTAAAGGTCACAGTAGTGAGAGGGCCTGGAGGGTAAAGGTCACAGTAGTGAGAGAGCCTGGAGGGTAAAGGTCACAGTAGTGAGAGGGCCTGGAGGGTAAAGGTCACAGTAGTGAGAGGGCCTGGAGGGTAAAGGTCACAGTAGTGAGAGAGCCTGGAGGGTAAAGGTCACAGTAGTGAGAGGGCCTGGAGGGTAAAGGTCACAGTAGTGAGAGGGCCTGGAGGGTAAAGGTCACAGTAGTGAGAGAGCCTGGAGGGTAAAGGTCACAGTAGTGAGAGGGCCTGGAGGGTAAAGGTCACAGTAGTGAGAGAGCCTGGAGGGTAAAGGTCACAGTAGTGAGAGGGCCTGGAGGGTAAAGGTCACAGTAGTGAGAGGGCCTGGAGGGTAAAGGTCACAGTAGTGAGAGGGCCTGGAGGGTAAAGGTCACAGTAGTGAGAGAGCCTGGAGGGTAAAGGTCACAGTAGTGAGAGGGCCTGGAGGGTAAAGGTCACAGTAGTGAGAGAGCCTGGAGGGTAAAGGTCACAGTAGTGAGAGGGCCTGGAGGGGTAAAGGTCACAGTAGTGAGAGAGCCTGGAGGGTAAAGGTCACAGTAGTGAGAGAGCCTGGAGGGTAAAGGTCACAGTAGTGAGAGGGCCTGGAGGGTAAAGGTCACAGTAGTGAGAGGGCCTGGTGGGTAAAGGTCACAGTAGTGAGAGAGCCTGGAGGGTAAAGGTCACAGTAGTGAGAGGGCCTGGAGGGTAAAGGTCACAGTAGTGAGAGGGCCTGGAGGGTAAAGGTCACAGTAGTGAGAGGGCCTGGAGGGTAAAGGTCACAGTAGTGAGAGGGCCTGGAGGGTAAAGGTCACAGTAGTGAGAGAGCCTGGAGGGTAAAGGTCACAGTAGTGAGAGGGCCTGGAGGGTAAAGGTCACAGTAGTGAGAGAGCCTGGAGGGTAAAGGTCACAGTAGTGAGAGGGCCTGGAGGGTAAAGGTCACAGTAGTGAGAGGGCCTGGAGGGTAAAGGTCACAGTAGTGAGAGGGCCTGGAGGGTAAAGGTCACAGTAGTGAGAGAGCCTGGAGGGTAAAGGTCACAGTAGTGAGAGGGCCTGGAGGGTAAAGGTCACAGTAGTGAGAGAGCCTGGAGGGTAAAGGTCACAGTAGTGAGAGGGCCTGGAGGGTAAAGGTCACAGTAGTGAGAGGGCCTGGAGGGTAAAGGTCACAGTAGTGAGAGAGCCTGGAGGGTAAAGGTCACAGTAGTGAGAGGGCCTGGAGGGTAAAGGTCACAGTAGTGAGAGGGCCTGGAGGGTAAAGGTCACAGTAGTGAGAGAGCCTGGAGGGTAAAGGTCACAGTAGTGAGAGAGCCTGGAGGGTAAAGGTCACAGTAGTGAGAGGGCCTGGAGGGTAAAGGTCACAGTAGTGAGAGAGCCTGGAGGGTAAAGGTCACAGTAGTGAGAGAGCCTGGAGGGTAAAGGTCACAGTAGTGAGAGGGCCTGGAGGGTAAAGGTCACAGTAGTGAGAGGGCCTGGTGGGTAAAGGTGACAGTAGTGCCCGTGGTGATGGTGCACTCGGGGCAGTGACCCCGAAGCTGGAGGAGGTTACAGCGGATCCCTGGAACAACCTCCTGAAGTCTGGGTCCAGAAATGTGCAGTGCTTGGTCTTTATAGTCACATACTGTATTAGAAATTTGATTTATTTTTATGCAACAGTTTTTCCTTCAAATACTGCGACACGTTTCTCCTGAGTGTGACAGGGAGTTTACACTGTAGGCCAGGGGTCTCCAACCTGTAGCTCAGGAACAGCAGTAGCTCGCCACCTCCTTCCAGGTAGCTCGCCAAAGGATTTAGAAATGAACCTATCAAATAATATACTTAAAGATTGTAGTATTCTTTATCATTATGTATTATTGTAAATGCACTTACTTTGTCGCTAGTAACATATCACCAAATATATATCACCACATTTTTCCCAGAGAGGCTTAAAGGAGTAGCTCTCTGCCTGTACCGTCCCGGGAAAGTAGCTCTCTGAGTAAAAAAGGTTGGAGACACCTGCTGTAGGCGTTAACACTAGTAGTGTAAATATACTGTGCTGTAGCGCCTCCTGTGGACATTAGTGAGAGCTGCACAATCCAGCGGCTGACGCGCACACCTGCCCCCAAATACTTTACTTTGATGATATTGTAATATTCAATACTTAAAACTTAAGTAATCAATATTTTAATATTGTATTTTTATTTTTACAATCATATCAGTTTCTCTTCGTTTCTAACCAAACAAAAGAGCAAATATATAAGTACACAGACTCTACTCCTGTATGACAACAATACCAGTTACACTCGTTTCTTTCTGAGTGGAGTTTGCATGTTCTCCCTGTGTCTGCGTAGGTTTCCTCCGGGTGCTCCAGTTTCCCCTACCACTAAAAACATGCACAATAGGTCTGAATGTGAATGAGAGAGTGAATGGATGGTGTTGGGTCAGAGGCTTTGATGGACCAGTGTGTTCTGGACTCGCTTCTGTCATCACCGTGTGTGGAAGGATTGGAACAATATCTGACTCTGAACATTGGAAAGTGCTTTGGGTCTGTGCCTTGGGCTGTAACATGTGCTATATAAATAAACATGACATTACATTACAAAGCTGTTAAAAGTTCTGTATGTGTTGTTTTGGTTGTTAAAAGTGTGGCCTGCTGTGTTTCAGGAGTGCACGTGACTGCGGGATGAGGAAGAGCAGGAGTGTCCTTAACGTGTGTCCAAACAATGTAAGTTCAGAAGTCACGTCTCTGCCGATTGTTCAGTGTTTAGTTTAGTTTATTCACAATTCACACAGTCCCTAAAAGTACATTAGGGCGGCACGGTGGCTGAGTGGATAGCACTCTCGCCTCTCAGCAAGAAGGTCCTGGGTTCGAATCCCGGTCGGACCAGGGCCTTTCTGAGTGGAGTTTGCATGTTCTCCCCGTGTCTGCGTAGGTTTCCTCCGGGTGCTCCGGTTTCCCCTACCACTAAAAATATGTCCAATAGTTCTGGCATGTGCCTCCTGTACTGGCCCCGCTCCCATCTCTGTGTGGAGTGAGAGACAAATGCCCAAAATTAACAATTGTAAACCGCTTTGAGACTCAGATCTGCAGTGAAAAGGCGGTATATAAATAAAAACTTACTTACATGTGTTACATTGTGAAAATGGAACTCCCAGAAGCAGAAGCTTTTACATTAGGGCTCCATCACACCACCACCACAGTCACAAACCTACAGTCAAACATACAGTCATCATAATATAAATAATAATAAAAATAAAAATAATAAATAATAGTGATAATAATAAAAAGTAACTAGTGCTCCCAGAATACATAAGTAATAATAATAATAATAATGACAATAAAGATAATAATCCTAAATCAATAACAATAATAGATAAATAAAGAATAAGAAATAACTAGAAACTTGCAATGGCTGAAGCCATTGCGATTGACTGCGGAACAGATCTAATGTGGAAATCTGCTAAAAAAAATCCTTGAAATCCTTTAAAAAGCCTTGAAACTGTTAAAATACTTGATAGATATTTGAAACTCCTGAAGTCCTTGAAATTGTTGAAACCTTTAAACTCCTGAAATCCTTGAAACTGTTGAAACATTGAAACTCCTGAAATCCTTGAAACTTTTTTAAACCTGGAAACTGTTGAAAGTGTGGAAACTCCTGAAATCCTTGAACCTCCTGATATCCTTGAAACTGGTTAAATTCTTAAACAGCTGAAATCCTTGAAACTACTGAATGTATTGAAAGTGTCCTTGAAACTGAAAAATCCCCTCACCGCTGAAACAATTTGGTTCCTGTAACTAAGGAAACCTGGTCTGTGGTCATTATCTGGTGGTGGTCTGAGTCTTCGTTTGGGTCTTGGTCTGGTGGTATAATGCAACCTATTAGGTTGCATTATACATGAAAAAACCCTATTAAGTTGCATTATACTGGTTTACATGAAAAAAAACCCTATTAAGTTGCATTATACTGGTTAACATGAAAAAAACCCTATTAAGTTGCATTATACTGGTTTACATGGAAAAATCCCTATTAAGTTGCATAATACTGGTTTACATGGAAAAATCCCCATTAAGTTGCATTATACTGGTTTACATGAAAAAAACCCTATTAAGTTGCATTATACTGGTTTACATGGAAAAACCCCTATTAAGTTGCATTATACTGGTTTACATGTAAAAACCCCTATTAAGTTGCATTATACTGGTTTACATGGAAAAATCCCTATTAAGTTGCATTATACTGGTTTACATGGAAAAATCCCTATTAAGTTGCATTATACTGGTTTACATGTACAAATCCCTATTAAGTTGCTTTATACTGGTTTACATGTAAAAACCCCTATTAAGTTGCATTATACTGGTTTACATGTAAAAACCCCTATTAAGTTCCATTATACTGGTTTACATGTAAAAAACCCTATTAAGTTCCATTATACTGGTTTACATGTAAAAACCCTATTAAGTTGCATTATACTGGTTTACATGAAAAAAACCCTATTAAGTTGCATTATACTGGTTTACATGGAAAAATCCCTATTAAGTTGCATAATACTGGTTTACATGGAAAAATCCCCATTAAGTTGCATTATACTGGTTTACATGGAAAAATCCCTATTAAGTTGCATTATACTGGTTTACATGGAAAAATCCCTATTAAGTTGCATAATACTGGTTTACATGGAAAAATCCCCATTAAGTTGCATTATACTGGTTTACATGGAAAAATCCCCATTAAGTTGCATTATACTGGTTTACATGGAAAAATCCCTATTAAGTTGCATTGTACTGGTTTACATGGAAAAAACCCTATTAAGTTGCATTATACTGGTTTACATGGAAAAAACCCTATTAAGTTGCATTATACTGGTTTACATGTAAAAACCCCTATTAAGTTGCATTATACTGGTTTACATGGAAAAATCCCCATTAAGTTGCATTATACTGGTTTACATGAAAAAAAACCCTATTAAGTTGCATTATACTGGTTTACATGAAAAAACCCTATTAAGTTGCATTATACTGGTTTACATGGAAAAATCCCTATTAAGTTGCATTATACTGGTTTACATGGAAAAATCCCTATTAGGTTGCATGATTACACTGAAGTCCTTGAAACTGCTGAAGTCCTTGAAACTGCTGAAGTCCTTGAAACTGCTGAAGTCCTTGAAACTGTTGAAGTCCTTGAAACTCTTGAAATCTTGAAACTGCTGAAATCCTTGAAACTGTTGAATCCTTGAAACTGTTGAATCATTGAAACTGTAGAAATGTCTGAAAGAGCTGAAGTCCTATTAAAATGCATGGGCCTATTAAAATGCATTGCAGAATTCTCAATGCAGATTTTTGTCCGATTGCGGAAAAACCGGAAATCGCTGAAGTCCCAAAAGTAATAGCAATAATCTCCCAAACATGTGGAACGTTTTGATGTATAACTTGTGGAAATTGTTGAAAATGTGAAAGCTGTGAAACGTGTCAAAAAAAATGACGGAATAAAGAAATACAAAACCAATGGTTGACTGCGGAAGGTTCCGCAGTCAATCAATTAACTAGAAACTTGCAATGGCTGAAGCCATTGCGATTGACTGCGGAACAGATCTAATGTGGAAATCTGCTAAAAAAAATCCTTGAAATCCTTTAAAAGGCCTTGAAACTGTTAAAATACTTGATAGATATTTGAAACTCCTGAAGTCCTTGAAATTGTTGAAACCTTTAAACTCCTGAAATCCTTGAAACTGTTGAAACATTGAAACTCCTGAAATCCTTGAAACTTTTTTAAACCTGGAAACTGTTGAAAGTGTGGAAACTCCTGAAATCCTTGAACCTCCTGATATCCTTGAAACTGGTTAAATTCTTAAACAGTTGAAATCCTTGAAACTACTGAATGTATTGAAAGTGTCCTTGAAACTGAAAAATCCCCTCACCGCTGAAACAATTTGGTTCCTGTAACTAAGGAAACCTGGTCTGTGGTCATTATCTGGTGGTGGTCTGAGTCTTCGTTTGGGTCTTGGTCTGGTGGTATAATGCAACCTATTAGGTTGCATTATACTGGTTTACATGGAAAAATCCCTATTAGGTTGCATTATACTGGTTTACATGGAAAAATCCCTATTAAGTTGCATTATACTGGTTTACATGGAAAAATCTCTATTAAGTTGCATTATACTGGTTTACATGGAAAAATCCCTATTAGGTTGCATTATACTGGTTTACATGTACAAATCCCTATTAAGTTGCTTTATACTGGTTTACATGTAAAAACCCCTATTAGGTTACATTATAGTGGTTTACATGTAAAAATCCTTATTAAGTTGCATTATACTGGTTTACATGTAAAAACCCCTATTAAGTTCCATTATACTGGTTTACATGTAAAAACCCTATTAAGTTGCATTATACTGGTTTACATGAAAAAAACCCTATTAAGTTGCATTATACTGGTTTACATGGAAAAATCCCTATTAAGTTGCATAATACTGGTTTACATGGAAAAATCCCCATTAAGTTGCATTATACTGGTTTACATGAAAAAAACCCCATTAAGTTGCATTATACTGGTTTTACATGGAAAAATCCCTATTAAGTTGCATTATACTGGTTTACATGGAAAAATCCCTATTAAGTTGCATAATACTGGTTTACATGGAAAAATCCCCATTAAGTTGCATTATACTGGTTTACATGTAAAAAACCCTATTAAGTTGCATTATACTGGTTTACATGGTATAGACTGTACTGGATAGTGTAGACTGTAGTGGATAGTGTAGACTGTAGTATAGACTAGGGATGTAAATCGGCGACCGTTTAACCGGTGGTTGACCGTCACAGCGTTAACCGGTCAAAGCTGTCGGTTAAAAAAGAGAAAAAGGGGAGAGGGGAGGTCTCTTAATAACGCTATTTTAAGCCCTATTTGCACGGTGTGACGAGCGGGTCTGTATCTAGCTGTGTGCGCCCATGTATTATAAACTCCGGGACGACTCTCACGCTGCACGAGCCACATATGCACACACACACACACACACACACACACACACTTTCCCCCTCTCCATACGTAACATCCACACGCATCATCTCTCCCCTCTGTTACCGCCAAAGTTGCACACTGGCGCGGGTCAGAACTACATTGGAGCTTACATTTACACACACACACACACACACATATACATACACACACACATACACACACACACATACCGGTCTGTCGCGCTCCTCTGTGTCACGGAGCCCAAAGGATTCGCGCAAATACGCGGCTCCAGTCAAACCACATGGACCATGTTTGTGTTTATGGTCCTCGGGATCAGCTCCACACACAACACTTGTATTTAAACTTTTGTGAAGACCTGTGAGACGCGGCACTCGCTGCTCTGACCATGTGAACGAGCCGTCGTTTGCTGCTAGAAAGTTTTGGTATTAACCCGCAGCACAGCAGAATGGGAAGATTAAAAAAGCAGTTCTCTGTGCGCAAAGGTGCCGGAGCTGTTGCGGGTTTTGGCGCCGCTGTCTCGGCTCTGATCCAGTAGAACGCAGAGCTGCACTTATGAAAAGTACGTGGCTCGAAATGGCTGTTATTTCAAAGAACGTGGACTATTTTAAACTACGCGGTTAACCGGTTTCAACCGGTTAATGAGGCTCGGTGGTCGGTCATGAAAATTCATAGTTTTTTACATCCCTAGTATAGACTGTAGTGGATAGTAT